GGCACATCCACGTGGCACTCTGTGACACTCCTCGCCTTAGAGTGTCGTGGATACATCAGGGAGGGAGTGGAGGGAAAATAATCAGGGATTAATAAAATTGCAGCATCACCCCAGAGCAGGGGAGATAGCACACAGCGGCAGGCAGGGAGAGCCGCCCCGCGCAGGAGCCCATTTAGTCCCTTTGTCCTCTCCTCCAGCACAGGGTGCAGAGAAGCAAATGCCGGTGCCGGGTACTGGTGCATCACATCCCCCGGGACAGGTCTGCAGCCTCACAGCTGTTTGCAGACCCCCCTCGCGGCAGAGCCCAAACGCTGATGGCTCCAGGGCTGTGCTTAGGCTCAGGGACCTGCCCAAGATCCCCCACCATTGCCCCCAGCCACGTCCATCTCAGCACAGCTGGTACACAGCAAAACACCCTGAACACACCCCAGCACCCCGGGGTGCCCGACTTCAGCCACAGATTTTATTTAGTAACGAGCTCACCACAGCAGCAAGCCAGGGCAGGGTGGATGGTACATGAATACAGACCGCAGGCAATACACAGACGGAGATTTGTACAGCTTTTGGACAGAGGAAGAAATCATGTGAATCAAATAACAAAATAGACATTAGCAAACCTTTTTTTTTTGTCTTTTTTTTCTTTATATCATACTAACAAAATCCGATAGCCAAAAAATGACTAAGCTACAAAATTGTAATACATACTGTACGAGTAAAAGGTTATCATCCATTTATACATCTAGTAGCGTCTTTATTCTGGTAACTTACATGAGGTCTATAGGATCTTAGTGGAATAATTCCCTACAAGATAGTGTTGAGCTGCTAAAGCTGCTGAACAACAGAGTATTGGAATTTTTGTTAAGGATTTTATGGTGCTATTTGCATCATTTTGTGTTAATGAAACCCTCCTCATGCATCTCTAGTGCCAGGCAGAGGAACCGCTGGTGGCTGGGAGCTGGCGACTCAGCTCCCGTTGTTCCGTAAAGCTGAAATCACCACCCGAGACTGATTCTTTTCCCTTTGGTCTAGAGAAGAAATCACTAAACATGGAGCAGTCTCCATAAAGACTTTTCATGAGCTAGCGTCTCAGCCTGCAGCAGAAAAGCATCACTAACGGTGGGGGGCACGCAGCTGGCCAGGAGGGATGCTGTCCCACCCAGGGTGCCGGTTCTTCCCCCAGTGCCGAGGGCTCCGGCAGCGCGTTACCTCCTGGCAGCAGCGCTCTGCTCCGAGGTACGATGCTCCAGACCCGGCTCCAGATGCAAAACCAGCACAAGCCAGGAGAGGGGCTGGGGAGAACACAGCCCCCCCCCACCAGCTCTCGGGGTTGATCCAACAAGACCAAGACGACAAGATCTTCTTGAAGACCAGAGCAAGGCTGGAGCCAAAGGGGGGTGAAGGCACAGACAGGAACCAGTCCCCGACCACCAGCAGGAGATGGGCGCGTTGCTGCTCCAATGCCCTCGAACATCTCCCCCAAAGAACCGAGCCAGTAAGAGCAAATCTCGTGAAGTACTTTATACACCACCACATAGGCAAAAATAGGATTTAAACTTACAAATAAATAGAGGGGCTGGGGAATCACCTCTTTGTCCTTTCCGAGCCTGTCCCTAGTTTGGTCTCTTCCGGCCTCAAAAGGGCAGCCAGAGACGGGCGCACTCGGGAAGCCTGGGCCCATTTCGAAGAGGGAAGATGTGACTGGTGACCAAACCCCCTCCTGGCCACTTGACACACGGTTGAGCTGAACCCATGGGATAACATGTCCTGTTGACACTGGAGTTGATCCTGTCTGGGGAGCAGCTCCCATGGACCTGCCCCCCAAGGGTGGGGGGATACAGGGGAGAAGGGGACAAAGCTTCGCCCTACTGCCGCACCAAGACCCCACAGCCTCCACAGAGAGCCAAGGCATACCATCAGCTCCTGGCTGATCCTCAGGGACCTGCAGAGAAGACCATCAGCACTAGCCTTAAACCTGCTCTGACACATCTGCTGCTGTTCTGCATTGTCACCCAGACTGACCGGGAAGGAGCCACAGGTCTGAGCCACTCAGAGGGGACAGTCCCTGGGAGGAGACAGGAGCCAGAGTCCCCTCCAGGATCCCCATAACCATTCCTGGGCGATCCCACCCTGTGCAGAGCCAAAGGTTCATTAAGGGAGGTGGAAAATTAAAGTAACTGTCCCTCTGTAGACAAAGGCAGCTGGTCACAAGTCACTAGAAAACCCATCAGAGAAAATAAGCTCCAAACCAGAACGGGCTCTCCCACCCGTGGGTGCCCGGGAAGTCCTGGGCTTGGCAACAGGCAGCACTGTAAGAGGCACTGTGTCAGCTCCGCTTGAGGGCTCGAGTTTGGAAAACACCAGCCCTAAATTCTTAAAACCAGCAGCTCCCAGTGAGGTATTTACTGTTGCAGGCTGTCACGCTCCCTCTGAGATTTTTCTAAGTCGCTCAGGAGATGACCATACCAACCAGGACCAGAAGAAATCCTTCACCACCCCTGTGATCCCTTGGGAAAGTCCTAGAGCTAGGCAGAGATGTGGCAATCTTCCTGGTGATCACTAAGAGCTGATCAAACACTTCTACAAGGCAGGATGGGATCCCACTTGAATGATTTCCAGCCAGTCAGATCCCAAACTCTGCCTCCCCCTGCTGTCAGACAGATTTAAGCTGCGTTTTCTGACCTGCTTTACTCCCCTGAAGTCATCTTCTTCTCTCATCTCCCTGTGAACGCAGGGAGAGATCACCAACCCTGCCTCACGCGAGCAGAGCCCAGGATTGTACCGTAGCCCAGACTCAGCGACATCTTCCTCATGCAGAACTGCAGCTGTGAATCCCAAGTTTTTCCCAGGCCACTTCTGGCTGCCCATCGTTCAAGGAAGGGAGAGCCTGGCAACCCACTAAGTAACACAACTGGGTGTGAAATTGGGGCAAAAAGCAATGAAGCTGCCATGCTGCCATGATCACCTGCCTGGGGCCTCACTCAGGTCTCCTCTCCCGGTGGTCTCTTTTGTCTTGTCCTCCTTCACAGACACCCCATCATAACACAAGAGCTTCTGAAGACTGCAGGAGTTGCGCACTACCTGGGGGAAGCCTGGTAAAATATTGCTCTGACTTTTCCCTGGGGTATGAACAATGAATCTGAACTGGACTCTTTCACACCTCCAAGAGCATCAATATCCCCTTCCTCCACCCTAACGTTCCCTGGGAGCTGTGGTACAAAGCTAAAGAGAAGAGTGAAGCCTTCAGAAGAAGGAACCAGAGCCTTGCCTGGCTTGCACTACTGGGTACAGACACCAGAGCTGGGTGGGCTCTAGTCTCAGATCCCTTCTGCTCCAAATGCTCATACTCAGGTCTGTGCCCATCAAATACATGCAACCACTGCCGCACGAAAGGTCCCAGCTGCACCTTCGCCTCCTCCATTCCCAGCAGTAGGGGATGGGCATCATACTGAAGAGCCAAGGATAGCTCTGGAGAACAGCCAGGCAATCCCCAATCAGCTGTTAAATTAACCAGGCAAGGGGGGGAACCATCTCCACAAGGCACCTGTCCCGCACTGCCTGCAGCCAGTACAGAGCCCTCAGGCCAGCGATGCCGAGGTCCAGCCGTCTGCGGAGTCCTGTGCTCAAAAGAGACCCAATGAACCGACGCGAGTCAGGGGACCAGGCTGGGCAGCCTGGGGGGCATCAGAGCCTGTCCACAAACTCTGAGCCACTACAGCTCCTTCCCCAAACAGCAGTGGGTGAGAAACAAAATAAATATCCCTCTGAAACTGGATTATTTCCCATGACATGCTGTGATACACGTACTAAGGGAAGCCTCCGCGCTCTAGAACAGCGAGCTCTTCTACAAGGCGAGGAGGGGAATGCGTCCCCACACCCCATCTTCCTCAGCCCACGTGTGCCAGCGTGACCAGTCAGCCCAGCAGGTTCCACTCGCTTGTGCAGGTCTTCCAGACACGGGGTGGGGTGGAAGGGAAGGGACAGACCGTGTGGGAAGCGTGCAGCCTCTGGGCACGTGCTTTGGAGTTGAACACCACAAGCAAATCCCTCTGCAGTTCCTGTGGGGTTACTGGGACTGGCTGATGCTGTGGTTTGGGGCAGGTGTCAGCCAGACCACATCAGCTGGTGGGACAAGGGCAGCTCAAGCAATTCAAATTCCACAGTCAAAACCAATACAGGGAAGAAACCAAACCCAGAGAGATCTTTCTGCTCCCTCCTGGAACAATGGCTGTGTTGGGAAACTGGACTCCAGGATTGTCCTGATTACATCAGTTAGTGTATTATAAACATTGTCCTGCTTTAAAGTGAAAGTACTGTGTCTAGTCTTTTGGAGGTGCTAAAGCCAGATGGGGTATCGTTCTTCCTGACACCACACAGGAGCTGATACTGGCATGAAATGATCCTCTTCACCACCTCTCCATCAGAGCTTCTCCTGGAAGAAAAAAGATCTTGTTAGATAAAATAAGGGCAAGCATAGAGGTCTTTTTACAGAAGAAGAAACTGAGGCATGGAGTGGGATGCCACCAGGCCTGCCGTGTCCTGGAGTCACATTGCCCCCTCTTCAGGCTGGTCATCCTGCCTGCGTGGAAATAAAGGCTGAGGCTACAGATCTTGCCCTTATCATAAACGCCAGGGGACACCAGGATAGCATGTCTCACAAATGCCACCCATGTAAAGGGAACAGCAGAGACCCGAGACCAAGCAGGTTCTAGGGCTGCCAGGAGAAGAGTCATCCAGGTACTGACCTAGGAGATGGGGGGGAAACTCCCTTCCCAGTGCTTCTCCCAGAGCAAGCACCCATTGCACCTCAGTGTGCATCTCACTGGCACCTTCCCAATGGATTTGAGTGGTTTTAATGGGAAGGTGAGGTTCCCACCATGCTTGGGAACTGGAGTTGTGAGAATAACACAGTCAAGCTATGCTGGCAGAACTGCCTCCACCCAAGAGCTGTCTCCAGCACAGCAGGCAAAAAAAAAAAAAAAAAAAGTGAAGCAGTCACTGTTTTAAACAATATTCTGCTTATAACTTACCTCTTGTTTGTGGGATTTCTCCTGCTGGTGAATCCCGTTAGCAGACCCAGAATTTCCAACAGTCTGCAATGGAGAAGGGACAGTACTTACTGGAGAGGGACACAGAGCCTCGTGGTTTTACCTACAAGCACTGAGATCTGGCCAGACTGCCATCTCCTTCCTTAGCCGCCCCACTCCACACGAGGAAAGAAAAATCCAAAAATCCCACCTCAATTTTGGCAAGAAGCTTCCTGCTCTCTGCACCCTGGCCCAATCCCCACAGGCTGGATTGCATCCTTCCCAGCTACAAAACATCCCCCGAGTTCCTCATGGACACAGACAAGCTCTTTACTTCTGACTCTTAAATCCTGATAAACAAACCCTCAGCCAAGGGCAGTGTTAGCTGCAAAACACAGCACAGTGAACATCCCAGCAGTAGAAAGGACGTTTGCCATTCCCCATTTCCCATCTCTGAGGACAAGTCTGGCATCCAGGACAGGCTGTTCTGCCTTTATAAAGCACAAGAACTTTTAAACATTTATAATGTTTCTTTAGCAGGGATAATATGGAGCCCTTCAGCTTCAAAATGACAGCACAACCAGCACAAACAAGAGGAGAAAGCTGCAGCCCGAAGTCACAGCACGCCAGATGTCAGTTTCTTGGGTCTTGGTAATCAGATTCACAGTTGTTGAATTGCTGATGGCAGCAAAACCAGACATTATGGGGAGACAAGATTCAAAACTCATCATTAGAGGAGTCCCAGCTACCCAGCCTCCATTCTTACTGTGGCCATGAAAGTGCATAATCAACCCTACGAGACAGAGATTTAGTTTGGGCAGGAAAAACAGGCAGAGACTCAAACTGAGTTCTGCTTTGAGAGCCTGAGCTGTTTGCCAGGCAGTGAATCCCACCTGGGTGGATGGCCAGGATAGTGCCACTGTGGTGGCTCAGCTTCGGGTCTGCACCCACGACCACAGGTGATTCAGAACGTATCCTACCTGCAGCACACCCCACCTGTGCTCTGCACAGCTATCAGATACCATGGTCATAATAATGAACAAGTTGCAGCCATTCGCTTGAAATTAAATAAAAAAAGCTCCCAGAGCAATCACTGCTAATTCTCCAAGAAAAGGCTCAAGCGCCAAATCCTTGTCACTTCCTGCAAAGCTGTGAGATCAGGGCGTCCCAAAGACATGGAGAAGGCAAAGATCCTCCGTTACAGGAGAAATACATCACAACTGCAGGCACGTAACAGCCAGGCAGCAATTACTTGACGACGAGATGAAGATGCAGTGCCACTACGCCCCTCCAGCTCCAGCACCTCCTCGTCTCACGGCGAGGCCAGCCACGCACATCAAGGGCTGCAGAGTGCAGCGGCTGATGAAGCCTGCGAAAGGAGAGCTGCAGCAGCTTGCAGTAATTAGAGATTTCCTTCTTGAGCGTGCTCCAGAGCAAAGGCTTTGCAGACAAAGGGAGAGCAGTGCCAAGGCAGATCCCTGGGCAGCAGCTGCTGCTGTCGGAGAGCAGACAGGAGGTCAGAAGGCGGTGCAGAATGGGTTATGATGGAAATGGGGCTTCTGGGGAAGAACCACCAATTCCCCAGCTATTGCACCACGGTCTCTTTAGGCCAGGAGCATCCTCGGGCTCAGCCTGACAGCCCCTGGTTAACAACTCCCCTTCACAAGGGGAAGGACAAACAGATTTCATACCAAAACCAGGGAGCTTTGATCCAGAGGTCTTTTAACGAGACACTTTAAAAATCTGACATCAATGGAAGTTTGAAGCCTGGCTTCCCGCAGTAATCCTCTGTCTGCCTTAGTATCACGGTGTGTAGCTGAAGGCATACTACTATCTTGTCGGATCTCTAAGATTTCTTCAGCATTAAAGTATCAAAGTAATACCAGGGACAGATGAGCTGACCTCATCAGGTCCATTCCAACTCACTTGATGTAAGAGCAGTTATTTTCTACAGCTGGGGAAGAAATAATTACCACCTGCACCGCCTCTGGAGACAGGAATGCGAAAGGGAAGATTTCCTTTTCTCAAGGGACTCAGCATTAAAGCAGAGAATAACTTTCCCCACCCTCCCATAACTTGTCACGCTGCATTTTCATGTGACACGTAGCAATTACAGCAGAAGCTCCAGTCACTCCAGAGGTACTGACAGGATTATAGTGTGTCTTGGGCTGCCACAAACTTGTCATCACGACTACAGCTGGCCTGTCTGGTGCTGGCAGACGGCTGCTGCCACTGCACTGCGGGATATAAAGAGACTGACTGCAGCACACAGCTGCTCAGCTGAGCCAGCAGAGCTTTCAGGGCTGCAATTTTTACCGTGCACCCTCGTCCTGACTGCCTCTCCACAAGCACTACTGCAATGCAAACAGCCACTTGGTGTATCTGCAAATTGTGCAGAAAACAGTGTTGTGGGAGGAGGAGAAGGCTTGAGACCCCCCCGAATGACCTACCACAATGTATCTGCACCTGCATCAGGGAAAACAAGGGCTCTGCCCATTCTCTGTGTCTAGTGCCTTGTTCTGTACTATCCTAAGGTGTCTGCCTGAACCTGAATTGTAGCTCAGTACTGCGAGAGAAAGACATTTTTCAGCTAAGAATTTAAATGAGGAAGTACAAGAGGAGCACCGGCGCATCTGGGCTCTGAAAGCCATGACCCGGTTGCAGACAAGAGAAAATACAGCTAAAAGAGTGAAAAAGGACATGAAGCACAAAGCCTGGCACAAGGGGCAGGTCACTTCACAGGAGGAATCAGTCAGAGCTCAGACACCACGGGTATGAAGTTGAAAAAGCCGGATGTGGGGAGTCAAGTTATTTGCAGCCTTCAGTTTCAGGAAGAAGGATGCAAGACAAACAACAGAAGTAGTTTTGCTTTTGTCAGCAGAAACAACGCAAGACCAGAGGAAGTCGGGAAGAGAAGACAGCAGCTGGAATGGGAACATCCATGGTCCATCAGCAAACCCAGATCAGATATACAGAGATGGCTCCAGGAACTGGTTAGAGAAATGGAAAACATTTTCCCAGTTACCTCCAAAGTTTGTGCTTATGGACTGCAAGGAAATAATCCTCTCAAAGCACAGAGATGGCAGAAACTTTGATATTATAAAGTGCCTGTACCACAAGGGTATGCGGCCACACATCACCGTACACATAAAGAACAGTTACACTGCAACTGTCCCCAACACACCACCTTTAGCAACCATTCTTGAAGAGCACAAAAGGATCTGTAATTACCAATGAGCAAGATTTTTCTTAGTTTTAAGCTACATCTGACAAAACAAAGTCTTGCCAGGCTGTTTCCAGCAGAGGGAAAGGGACCCAGCTGACAGCACCACCCCCCAAGCACAGGGCAAGATCCCTGGAGATTTCTGAAGAGAAACGACTGCCAAGAGCTGAGCAACCCAGGAAACGAATGCTGATGCTCTACCTGTGTTTTCTCGGAGGAGAGCCTCATGGCTTCCATGAGCTTCTCCATCTGGTGGCCCTGCTCCAGCGCGTTGCGCAGCACATCCTCCGTGCTGACGAGCCGGTGCTGCAGCCGGATCACTTCCGACTCTGACGAGGGGTCGATCAGGGAGTATCGCCTCTGATCCGTTACCGATTTTTCCTTGTCCTTATAAAGCAAAGAGAAAATAGCAGCATATTAGATGCAGAAACTAAGCACAGCAGAAATCCACAGTAACTCATATCATTGTGTTTTGATTCTAACAGTAGATGGGGTCAGAGCACAGCTCCGAAGGCAATCACATCAAGTGCAACCAGCAGCAGCTCCAATCTGTTCCCAGCAGAGTTCAAATAAATTATACACATTTCAGCCACTGGAGGACACTGAAGTACATGGCAACTAGAGGACATTGCTTATTCCTAGGTCAGAGAAGGTGTAAGACAATGCGGGGTAGCTGACCGACCTTCAGTTTCTCCCACAAATTTTAGCCCTATTTAACCATGGAGCTAAAACCTGTGGGAGCAGGAGAACACTGGAGAAGGACAGATGGACATTTCTGCTGCTTAATGAGGTGCTGCTAAGCCAGGCCACAGCTCACAGGCGCTGTCAAGGAAGTTCCTATCAGATGTAGCACAAAAGCACGAAGACCTGGAGTAAGGGTGAAGGGCTGGAACCCCTCAGGAGTGGCCCAGCACCCTGCAGCCCCCAGCCTAAGGTCAGCAGTGGTTTGATGCCCTCACCAGCACAACCAGTTTCTCTCGCAGCCCCTTGATGTCATCTTTGAGCTTCTGTTCCTTCAGCCGCCACTCGGCTTTGTGCACCTCCCGGCTCAGGTCCCGCTCTGGCCCAGGTGAGTGCCGGTTCGCCTCCAGTAACAACACTCTCAGCTCGTTCAGGCTCCTGAAAGAAGCAGCACAAGAAGGTTTTCCACATTTCCATATGCCTGGAAGGGACTAAAGACAGAAGCCCTGGGCAGGGATGAAAGGCGATGGTTTGAAGGCCTTGATTGTCTCAAACATTTTGGTTGTGAAAGACCGCAACTATATTCCTTGCTGATAAAAAGAAGCAAGGAATGCAAAAGTAGCACATCTTGTCATTTTCCCCTGCAATGACACAGCAAATCTTGCTCCTTTCCCTTGTTCCCCCCCCAACTTTGGGGTGCCAGCAAGGAAAGTTTAGCCAAAATTCCTATACTAATTCAGAGGACACCCCTCTTCACTTCTTATGCTAATTAAGGAGACACCTCCATCGCTTCCTATGCTAACTGAAGAAAGTTTGGCAGAGATCTGAGAACTTTGGTCTACAAAAGGTGAACAAACAAAGGGAGGGGTGCACACCCATCACCTGAGAACTCCTGAGACTTCTACCATCATAGTTGGACCTTAGATGGAGAAAATTATTTCTGATAACTTTTCTCTTTTCTCCTTTTCCTTTCTCTTTTCTCTTCAAACATCTCGTTATCTCTCCCTGTCTCTATTTTCTTGGTACATAAGGGTATAACCTATAACAAGCTCCTTTTCCTCTTTTCAGTATCAATAAGTAATTATGAGTTTTTCTTTTTAGTGATAAGTGATTGTTACACTGTTAACAGCTACAGTATTGTTGTAAGTTTTAGTGTTGTCAGTAGGTGGTAGTATTATTGTTATGAGTTGTCTTTACCAAGTCATTTTGGTTTTTGTAATTCCACTACATTTTACATCCAACATTTCACTTTTTCCCTAAAAAATTATGTGCATTAGAGTTACAAGCCAGTATTCGATTGTTTGGTGCTGTTTCACCTTAATTTACCAGTTTAACTGGCTTGTAGACGGCTTCCTTCAGCATCTACATGGGCACTGAGCTGCGTCCTGCAGCTCCTGGCGAGCAGTAAAAGGACAGTTCCTTTAATAATCCATAGTACCTGATTTTAACAAAGCTCCTGCTCGAGCATCTCTAAAGAACAGGAAAGCTGAGGGCTGGACTGCAACAATTCAACCTGTAGGTTTCTTTTGGTGGTAACTTACAGCACCCTGAACAAACACGAACACATACACAGCCCCATCTCCAGCTCTATCCTTCAGACCTGCAGACTGACCTTTCCTTCTTGAGCAGCTCCTGGCTAATCAGGACCAGTTGTCCCGAAGCATCGTGTGTTTTCTTGGTCAAGGCTTCCAATTCACCTTCCAGCCTCTTCTTTTCTTTTAACATCAAATCAACCTTCTTTTCTGCCGTTTTGCATTTATTTTCCAAAGCTACAAGAAGCAGAAGACACAGGGGGAGAAAGGTCACTTAGCCCTTTACTTACAT